CCACAGTACAAGAGGGATGTGGAGCTGCTGGAGAGAGTCCAGTGCAGGGCTACAAGGATGATCAGGGGCCTGGAACATCTGCCCTATGAGGAGAGGCTGAGGGAGCTGGGCCTGTTCAGCCTGGAGAAGAGAAGGCTGAGAGGGAACTTGATCAGTGTCTATAAGTACCTGAAGGGAGGCAGTGAGGAGGATGGTGCTGGCCTCTTTTCAATTGTGGCCACTGATAGGGCTAGAGGAAATGGCCACAAACTGAAGCACCAAAAGTTCCACAGGAAATTAAGAAAGAATCTCTTGACAGTGAAGGTGACAGAGCCCTGGAACAGGTTGCCAAGAGAGGCTGTGGAGTCTCCTTCTCTGGAGATCTTCAAAACCCACTTGGATGCAGTCCTGTGCCACGTGCTCTAAGTGACCCTGCGTGTGCAGAGTGGGGGTTGGACTAGATGACCTCTAGAGGACCCTTCCAACGTTAAGCATTCTATGAATCTATGATTCTATGATTCTGTGATCTGCTTTTGGCTAGTTCAGTATCTATTGCTGTAGTGAATACAGGAAGATAGGGCACAGCAGAATGTAATGCTTGTGGTACAGGATTCCAAGATTTATAGCTGTCTGATTGGTAAGAATACACACATCAAGGCACCAACCAATTCGTTAAGATTCTGTCTGTAGCAAATTTGTAATTTGCTTTCAGATCCTTTATACTAATGGATGTTCTGTAAACAAAGCACATGGGTACCTAACTCCCCTTTCCTCATGTTAACTCTGACCATCAACAAAGTTATAGCTTAAAAGCCAAGTTATATCTTCAAGCAAAGCAGCCTGACCTCTCTTTTTTTTGTCTTTTTTTTGTTGTTTATGACAAAAAGAACATGGGACTGAGGTCAGATACTGTTTTCAACTGCAAAAGTACTTCTTGCAGGTGTGGGCAGAGTTTATCCTAAAATAGATGTAGACAAAAGAAGAAATAGCAGTTAAAATATTATCTCAGCAGGAAAAATAGCTCTGTGAGGCACTGGGTATCTAAAGCCTTGTTCTGTAATCAATGCAATTCTATACTGCATGCTGTTACAAATGGCCTTTTGATGAACGTATTTTGTCTTTCCATCTTGTTTGCTTGTTAACAAATATTCTACCCAAAATGATGATCAAGGGGTGTATTATGTCAAAGGAGGGGAAAGCAGAGAGGAAAGCCTTTGCCGAACACTCAGTCAGTCATTTTCAGCCTTGTTTTATTTAGACCCCCTACAAATTTTCCTGTGGTGGCACAGAATTTTGTATAGAAGGTTATTTCACCCACAAGGATAATCACCCTGCTTTCCTTTCCCTCCTAACCTACAGTGTACCCCTGCCTCTGACGTCTGCAGACCACATTTTGAAAATCAGTCTCCAAAGTAATTTAATTTTCTATATTTACAGTTTCCCTTCATTTTCAAAAAGTTACTTTCTCATAATATCTTATTTTGGACCTTAGTAGTACTGAGTTACTATTACAATGTATTGGGCATTCCATACTGCAATCAAGGTTGCAGGAGGAAATGACAATATATCTGAGATCAACTAGGAGTGTGTGACAGCAAATCCACAAGTTCTGGATGAAATTTTAATTCCCTTTTGAGCCTTGACATGGGATTAAATGCAGCCGCCAATCTTCCTGGACCTCTGCACTTGATTCTTGTAACAGGTGTCTCAAAGTATTAGACAATATAACATTGTAAGCAGTAAACCTGTGAAGACCTTACTTTGAGGGTCGATGCAGTTACTGACTGAGGATGCAGACCTACAGGTTGACACTATCTTGTAGAGATGAAGAAGGTTACAAGTAATTTTTGCCCTCTTCTGATTACACTTTCCAATATAATGCTGCCTCCATTACAGCAATCGTTAGAGCAATATATTGAAGCAATAAGGAGTTACATTACTTCATAGTTTTTTTTCATATCTTTGAGCTGTAATCACTGTTCCTTCCATTAGAGTTATAAAGGGAAACACAAAGGGTTCTTCTTGTGTTGGGGAAATCCAGCAGCATGGAGGGTCCAAAGAGAAATTTAAATTTCCCTTCAGTCTGACTCTATCCCAACAGAGAAGGAGGAAAATGAGAGTAGAATTCAGAGAAGTTAGATTACAAATGGCATCCAAAGGATAATGGAAAAAGAGGACTGAAGACTGACTGTAGGTTTTGAATAATTTTTATTTAATGTATATGTTTTCTTCTAATTTTCTGAAAGAAGGGTGGTGTGAAAGAACAGAAAGGTATCAAATTATTTTTCCCCTTTCTAATCTCATACCAATTAGTTGTTATTGCTAACCACTCTAATTGTTGCCAGCCTTGCCAAAGTGACCAGTCCTATTAACAGAGCTGTAATGATTAAATCTGTAAACTCCAGTATCAGAGCAACCAATAATTCCCAGCACATCCAGGAATGTGGATGAGGTTCTCTGAGGAACTCTGAGGTTTTCCTTAGGGTGGAAATGGTGGGGAGGAGGAGCAGTGATGCACATTTGGGCTTTATCTCCCTGTGGGGTTAAGATTTGTCCAAAATGCACATCTGACAGGAACTGGGAAATGCTGCTGGTTCTTCTGAACCCAGGTGAAGGTTATGTATGAGCATGGGAAAACTGCAAAAAGATCTGGTATACTCGTAAAGAAGTGAGTGTGAGAACTGAGAAAATGATTAGCAGCTGTGCTGAATAGCTGCTCATACTGAGGAGAAAGACAGAGTCATGATTTGAAACTGAGGCTCCACACAACTCACCTTAGCCAGTACAAAATAGATATGCGTGTGTAGGGTTCTAGGAATCTTGGGCCTTGGGCAATTTGTCTACATCCATGGACATTGCAGCTTTTGTCACTTTAGCTACTCCTACCCAGTGCAATTTTGAGCCTTAAGTTTGACTCCTGAAGACGAGATCCATCAGCTGGCTCAAGGAACAGGCAAAGCAGGCAGATGTCTGGGTTAGAGCTTGTCAGGGAACAACTGACTCCCTTCTATCTCTTTCCACTGCTAACCTTCCTCCTTCCTTTACCTGCTCCTGCAGCTAGACTTAATATTGCATTTCTGGAGCAATGAAATTCAATTTTGTCTCACAGCTGAGAACCTCTAGGGCCTGGAGAGAGGCCCTTCAGCTCAAAAAGAGATCTGTTGAGCAGCAAAGCTGGTGGAAGGAGGAGAAGAACTTCCTATGTGGCCAGGGATGAAGGCCTATGTGAGAGGACGGAGCATGACACAGGACTGTCCCTTTCAAGGGTAGTTTGATCCATTCAAATTATTGATAAATTGCAGCCATAGAACCCTGTAGCTCTGTCTCTTTGGAAGAAGTCAGGAGTTGGAGAAAGCTTTACCAAATGATTTGGGGCCAGACTGAGTAAAGGGCTGAAGGTCTTAAACTATGTGAGGTAGCACTTGAGCTTGTAGATGCAAAAGTGTAAATTTGAAAGATTATATACTTTGATTCCTGACCCAGGAGGTACCAGAATTTCAGGCATACATAACATTTTTCGCTTCAGAGTTATGGAGTGGCCTCTATTTATGCACTTTTGAGGTCTGTTCCTTTCTTAAGGGGCTGAGGGTGGACTTTTTCACTCAATACTGGCTGAGTCTGGTGTCTCACAGGTTTAGTTTAACTTGCTGTCGTGGATTCCTACAGAGGTGAAACCCCCAGGCTGATGGTGGGAGAAGTGCCTCCTTCCTCAGAGAAGTTTTCCTTGTCAGAGATGCAGAAAATCTGATAGCAGACAGGAATCCAACTTATCTGGTCTCTTATAGAGATTCATGCCATTAAAACACCATTAAATGCCAACAGCTGCTTTAAAAGAACATACATTTTCCTAGCTTAAGTAAGTCAAACTTTACTGCTCTCTACCAGTCTGAAATTCCAATGCCACATGGTTTTATGTCCAGCTTGCACATATTGTAGAGGGGAAACATATAATGAAAGAAAAAAGGGCTGATAAAGGGCCAACTGCTCTCTCCACAGTAGAATTAGTCATGGTGTACTGTAGTTCTCCAGGCTGACACACCTGGTGATCTCTTCTCTCCATGTTCACAAGAAACTCAGATTAATATCCTGGTTTCTCTCTGCTGATAAACACATTTATCAGCTTACACAGGACACATGGGCTCGACTTGCAAAGTCCTCTCACACGTCTCAGCAGTTCGTAGTGCAGTTAGTCAGAGGAAAGTTTAAAATGTTGAAAAAGGAACATTTCCAGACAGAAGAGGAAATGGGCAGAGCAAGATGAGCAATAGATCTGTCCTAATATGGCCCCACCTCATACAAACACATATAAAAATAGTGAAAGACTGATTTTCACTGTTCCCTGGTTGCCAGTCACCTGTTGCTTCTCTCTGGGACCACCATCCATCCAAGATGTGGGCAAAGGTACTGTCTTGTTTCTTTGCACTTTCAGATGTTCTTGCAGTATAAGCTTTTGTATCTTCATTGTGCATGTTTCTGCAGGTGTGCATCGTATATGAGCTACACAGTTCACCTACTCTAAATGCTTTGTGTTCCTTAAGACTGTCTTGAGGCTTCCTACTGAGCTCAGTGAGGACTTAACATGAAATAATGGGGACAGTTTAGTCACTGTTGCCAGGAAAATTAAATCCAGTTGAAGCAACACAATGAAAAGCTACAAGCCTAGTCACTGGGGATGAACAGCCTATGTTCCAAAGAGAGAGTAGTCAAGTTTGACTTACTTAAGCTAGGAAAATAGAGAAAATATTATCACTCTGTGGATACATGCAGAAGAATAATGGAAGGGAGAAGGAGAAGTGGAAGAGACAATTTCCAAAGTGAAGAACTATTATAGCAATGTCAGCACAGAAAAGCAAGTGTATGTACAGAGTTGTTATAAGTAATGTAGGCTTCTCTACAGCAGAAAGTCTATCAGAGGAGGGAAGTTCTAGATTAGTTTCTAACAGCAGTACTAATAGCAGCCACCAGCTCCAGGCCAGGTGAAGCATGCTGAGTTTGCATAATGGGTCAGTGCTCAATGGGAAAGCACAAAACAAGAAATATAATTCCCGGGGCAGCAGGAAGCCCCTGCTTTTCAGAGCTGAGATCTTGTGTTGGAGAAAAGCTAGAAATCCAACTGAGTGTGAATTCAGTGGGAGCTGTGAGACAGGAGCTGCTGGTAAAAGGTAGAGCTGCCAAGTCCTGCCTCCCTCTGAGCTCCAAGTTCAGTGAGACTTGGGATAGTTAATCTGCTACTCATAGAGATTAAATCCTGCCTCCCTGAGTGACAGTGACTGCATTGACCTGAAGTGCCAGATTCCTGCTGATTTCAATAACAATGAAAAGGTGCTACTGAAAGCCAGGTGCTTTTGGCTCCTATTCTTTTATAAAACTTGCCAAGTTTCGTCATTTGTATCTTAAGGACTCAAGTCAAGGAGGAAGCAGTAGAAACAGACAAATGAGACAGGTCAAAGTAAAAGCAAAACAAAAGTAACCCTGTGCCATTTCTGGGAATAGAAAGGGGAACAATTCAAACATCAGTTTTCCTGGTGCAATTCATTCGCTGATGCAGCTCCTATCAGCAAGGACAGGACAACAGAAGAGGGTAGCATGCTAAGAGAAAATCCAAGCCTGAAAAAAGGGGAAAAAATATTCTATGATTTTTTTTTTTTAAGAAAGGAAACGTTACATATCTACATTTTTTTTCCCTCACAGACAATTACAGGAAATTTTGCCAATGTGATTCACGGTTTGAATGTGAACCATTTGACAGACCAAGTCATTCAGCGAAGCAAGCGGATGATTCTGGATACCCTTGGAGTTGGACTTCTGGGTACCAGCACCGAGATCTGCCACAAAGTGATGCAGTACAGCAAAGTAAGATGCTTGGTACTCATAGCACACTCTCAAAAAGCGTAAGAAAAGCAAATGAAAACTTGGTCTACTAGGGGGAATATTCTTGTGGCGCAACTGACTTTTGGTCTGTCTTTTGGACTATGGTTCTTTAGCATACAAGATTTTATGTAAAATCAGCAAAGCAAACATTACTCAACACTAGACTTGCCAAAATAGCCTGCTCCATAAGAAAAGCAAATGAAAACTTGGGATACTAGGGGGAATATTCTTGTAGCGCGACTGACTTTTGGTCAGTCTTTTGGACTGTGGTTCTTTTGCATACAAGATTTTATGTAAACATCAGCAAAGCAAACATTACTCAGCACTAGACTTGCCAAAATAGCCTGCTCCCTGTGATGTGTTTGAACCCTTGACATAGCTCCTAGGGAATATTTGTTTCTTTTAATACTTCCCAATAGAATAGCAGGTTGCCATTTTCATTTCCTATAAAAGGGAAAAGCTGAGTCCCAAAAGGGTGTGCTCTGCTCTCATTTGCATCAGAGATACAGTGTACATTTATCCTTCTGCTCAGGATTTTGAAATAATTGTTGTCATTGTATTTCAGATCTACAGCTCAGATACATCCAGCACTATCTGGGGTCACTTGGATTTCCGACTTCCTCCTCTATATGCAGCTTTTGTGAATGGAGTGGCTGTAAGGAACTCTCTTTATTTGCTCTTAAATCACACTAATTGATTCCATCTTCCTCACAGAGACAACAGAGTCTTAGTTTACTTTATTATTTTACCTGAGGTCTACCACAGCTTTTTTTCCTGGGCTGTTCTAGTTTACTTCAACTTTCCTCCAAGAAGTCCAGGCTCAAAGCATGGGATAACAGGTATCTGATCCAGGCCTGACCACTCATTTGGCACCTGGGGCTGTTTGTTTTCAAGGTGCAGATCTCCACAGCTTGTTACAGCCACACAGCAGGGAGGTAACCTCACTCTCACTGATTGCAGCAGGACACAAATTTCATCCCAAATGGCCAACTAGAGTTACTGAAAAACACAGATGCGGACACATGTGAATATACCTATACATAGGTACTATTGCCAAGAGATTTAATTTTCAGTCATGCAGTTTACAAAAGCCAGTTACGCACTTTGGACACATTCTTTATCAGTAAAGCAATAACTGATTCCTCAGAGTTTTGCTGAAGCTCAGATCTAGGCTGAAAGCAGTTGGAATCTCTGGTTATGCTAGAGGTGGCTTAGGCAAATTTGGTAATTACGAGAAACCGGGGAAGGCAACCATCCAAGGAAATGACATATTAAGCCTGTCTAAATTAGTGTGACAAGATCAGAAATCAAATTTGACACCTCATTTTCAATGTAGAAAACATTATTTTGGAAAAGAGATACAGTAACTCTCAGCTCTTAATAATCAGTGTGATACTCAAATCTGGCTGTTAGCATATATGTGATAATTTCAGTTTACATTTTGGTAACGAATCAGTTCTAAGCACTTATTGAAAACTCAAGCAACTCAGTTTACTGGGCATTAGGCAGAACTTTCCATATCCCACATTGTAGGGTATCTTCACAGACAGTATCATATTCCTCAGGATGGGCTCTGGGTCTTTTTCTGACTGTTTGGGAGCAGACTCCTCAGCCTCCTGATTGTGAGGATGGCAGAATTGTGTATTCTCAGCATTACCGAACAATATCTGAGCACTGAGGAGCATTACAACCTTCCTTGCTTGTAGATCAATGAAATAAGTCACATGGGAATAGGCATGAAAGTCTCTTCTGGTTTTGAGGCATTAATGATTTTGTTGAAAATGCTGTTCCTGACACTGGAGATGAGTTAGAACATTTCGGGTTTTCTGGCAGACTCTTAACCATAACAAATCTTGCTGGGAACAGTCTGCTACCCAAATAGCCACAATATGCCATGCTGGGAACACCTGGAAACATCCAGGGCAGTTGGGCTCTGGATGTGGGAAAGAGGGGGCTTCTCCAGATGCTCTTAAAGGCTAAGCAGCTCGTCTCAGTTTTAAGACTAAAGATTGCCCCTGCTCCCAGTGCACCTGGTTGCTCAAGTGATGGGGCTATTCTGCATCTGCTAAAGCCTGATGAGCGTTTGCAGGCTGTATATATAAATATATTTATGCATGTATATATAGACACATATACACACAAACATATATATAACAAAATTATGTACATATAATTTACTGGTATGAGCCCTAATGTCAGCATTAGTTGCATCACAGGGGAAGTGACTTCATTATACTTAATTAGGATTTTGGGGAAGTGAAGGTAGATACATCTGCATTCACGTGGGAGCTCTAGAACTGCTGCTTTAATTATACCAACCTAGTTATAGCAACAAAAGTCTGTTGTAGGAGAGAAATATCAGTATCACACTGATTTCAGACTAGCACAACTAGGAACAGAATTTGATCCCATCCCTTTGATGCAAGATTTATATTGCACTTCTGCTTCTCATCAAACCGTGTTGAAGAGCGTGTTCTACATGTTGTTGTAGAAGAAAGATTTTTTTTTAAAAAAGGTTTTCTTCCTAAGGAAAATCAAGTCCCTCAATATTTTTATACCCATCCCAGAATTTTCATGTGACTGGTCTGATCTTGCCAAGGCCAATAGTTGATTTCTGATGACAAACCAAAGTTTCTCTTTGCACCAGGTGCACTCAATGGATTTTGATGACACATGGCATCCAGCCACACACCCGTCCGGGGCTGTGCTGCCCTCCGTGATTGCCCTCTCAGAGGCCTTTTCCCAGAAGAAAAAGATCTCTGGGCTCGATCTGCTCTTAGCTTTCAACGTGGGAATTGAAGTGCAAGGCAGGTTGCTACGCTTTTCCAGCGAAGCCAGGAACATCCCAAAAAGGTACATAAAATACTTCAAAGAGTAAGCTGAGCGCAAGCTTTTTTCGGGGCTATATACTTATACTTAATATACTTAATTAAAGGCCAGTAAAAATACAAATGGCACAGTTGATCATATTTACTGCATCGGTTGTCCAGAAATTTATTAAAGATTTAAGCAAATCTCAAAGCAAATTGGAGTTTGTGCATACAGTGAATTTGTGTAACTTTATGAAACACAGTAACGAAAGAGATTTTCTTTTTTTTTCTCAGGTTTCACCCTCCAACTGTGGTTGGTACAATGGGGAGTGCAGCAGCCTGTGCTAAACTGCTAGCTCTGGACCAGCTGAAATGCAAAAACGCCTTGGCTGTAGCTGCCTCCTATGCAGGTGCCCCACTGGCCAACGCCGCCACCCAAACGAAGCCCCTCCACGTGGGCAACGCGGCCAAACACGGGCTGGAGGCAGCTTGCTTGGCATCCCTGGGTGTTCAAGGAAACAGGCAGATCTTGGACATGGAGTCAGGGATGGGGGCCTTTTATTCCGATTACAACCCACAGAGCCTGCCGACCTTGCAGTCGTATCCCTGGCTGTTGGACCAACAGGACGTTGCCATCAAGCGCTTCCCCGCTCACCTTGGAACACACTGGGTGGCCGATGCCGCCTCTTTGGTCAGGAGGAAGCTCGTGGGGCACGGGAACAACCTGCTCCCTCTTGACCAAATTGAGAAGGTCGTCGTCAAGGTCCCAGAGGTCAGGTACGTGAACAGGCCCGCCCCTACCTCGGAGCACGAAGCTCGACACTCCTTCCAGTTCGTCGCTTGCTCTGCTTTGCTGGACGGCTGCATGTCCGTCGAGTCCTTTGCCAGCGAGCACATCCACAGAGCAGCCCTGCGGGAGCTCCTCCGCAAAACGCGCCTCGAGCACCCGGCCGACAACGAGCCCAGCTTCGAGGACCTCTACTGCGAGGTGAGCGTCACGCTCGAGGACGGCTGCGCCTTCAGCGGCCGCTGCGACACCTTCTACGGGCACTGGAGGAAACCTCTGAGGAAAGAGGACTTGGAGAAAAAATTCCAGTCCAATGCCTCCCAAGTCCTCTCTGCGGAAGCCGTGGAAGGCATTATAGAAACAGTATATAATCTGGAAAAAGTGGAGGACTGCTCTGTATTAAGCACATTTTTATCGGGGCAGTCAGCTAGAGCACTTTCAGAGAAACTGCACTTGCTTTGAACAATATTCCATCACTTCAGAGCCCAACTTGTAGCTAATTCACAAAGCTAATTAAAACTTCAGGAAAATCCCTTATTTAGCAATTCAGGAACTTTTAAATTGGACTCCTGTAACCCAAGAGCCATGGTCACTCCAGTATTGCGTTTTTTGACTAAGTAAATAATATAGAGATTATGTGCACAATTTGCACAGAGAAGCTGAGCAGGGTGTCTACCATCTGCTGGCACAGTCTCTCTCAATTAGCTTTGTACCTCTCGAGGCAGAGCACTGCTCGCATGCTACAAAAAAAAAAAGCCTCAAAAAACCCCTTCTGCCAAAAAAAAAAAAAAAAAAACTACATATGCTGTGTACCTTAAATAATTTCTTAATGGAGATGCAAATTCTAGAGGAGCGTGAAAATAGTCTCTGTAAGAAACATCCCTGTGGTCCGGACCACAAGACATTCAGCTCCGCTTTCCCTAGCCGTGTCCGCAAAGCTGATGAGCAACCGTGAGGAACGTGCGCGTAGGCTGCCATTCAGGCTGTTTATTCCTAGCAGGAAAAACCTTTTCTCAGGTGAGGTGGGTTACGCGAGTGCTGCGTTTTGTGGATGTGTAGATGTTAGTGAAGTCCTATTGCACTGTGCGCTCGCCAACAGCTGCAAGTTCTAACAAAAGCTGCTTGTTATGTTTCAAATTTGCACTCAAGACGGTTCTTTACTACAACAGATCCTGTCTCTCTACTTATATATAATCCAGCTCTGATGGGCGGTGAGAATCTTGGCTACTAATTCACAGCATCACAGAATGGCTGAGGCTGGAAGGCAAACCTGGTGGTTTGGATATTTAAGATCAAAGGATGTGTTTCTAAATACATGAAATATACCTAGCTTTGCAGCACTAAAATATGTATGCAAAAGCTCACAAAATAAAGCCATTTTGTTTTACTAACCACATTTCAATTTACTTCATTTACTAGACCAAAAGCAGTGTGCTTCCCACACACGCAGTGTGTTCTTAAGTCCCTGACTCCAGTGTTATAAAGTTGGTTTATCTAGAAGGTTCAAGGGTGGAGAAAGCCCATCAGATACGGTTGTGTGAAGCCTCACAAGCAATTTTTTTCTTTTTTGCCCCTTCGGATTATAGAATTCAATTGCCCATCTACACTGGAAGTATACAGACTCATTTAGAGCCATCTCACCTGTAATTGCACAGGGTGGGTAACATCAGTTGCTGATAACCATTAGTTTTGTGCTGAAAGGACGAGGAGGCATGAAGGATTCCCGCTTTGTTTTGCCAAGCCTGAGCACACTTAAGATTTAGGGGAGAAAAAAACACCTTCAACAGGTGCTTCCTAATTTAAACGGGAAAAAATGGATCAAGTTGCAGCAACCCTTTAGTGAATTACAGATTAAAAACAAAACTGTGAAGTTTAGCATCATTTTATTAATACAGCCAAAGGAAGCTAGTTGTTTAGGTTTAGCGAGTGGATTTCCTTGCAGACATTTGCACTCTTCCAGTCAGGCAAGTTTCAGAACTTCTTCTATCATTGTTCCGATTCCGTCAAAAATTTCATGCAGAGGAGCCTTGCACATGAAAGCACAGGTAGTGACTATCTTGTTGGCTTTATCCACATGGGATTCATTTACATTTTTGCAAACGTGCTTACATCCAAGCTCTGCTATAGCAGACGCTGTTTCAGCATCGGGAAATCTGCAAATGAAAAGATTTGGATTAATATAAAAAGAGATGCTGTGTCTATAATGTTCTCACACCATAACTTGAATGAGAGAATAACAGGAATATTGCAGGAATATTTAAGCCTTCAGTGGCTCAGGGGCAGGTGTTCGGCAACAGATAAAGAGATCTTCCTTACATTTTATTTTTTACTGTAATGTGCCTGTGGATATTAGCATCACAGTATGTGTCACAGGCCTGTGTATTTCTGAATTCAGGGATAAGTTGTTCAAGCACCAAAGTGCCTAACAAGCCACTGACGCCACATATTCAGCTTCTCTGCCCTGATAATTCTACGTCTACTATTATTAAGCAAGTGAAAAAGTTTAAAAGGAGGAAAAATACCTAACTAATAAGTGACCCAAAGGTTACGGGTACCAGACATGTGCGATTTTGCACAGATGACCAGCTGTTTTCTAATCCTACTTCCCACACCAGGTATCTCTGTCCGTCCCCTTCTCACCTTCCATCAACGTTTTTATCCTGGCCAACAGTGACCTCACAACCAGGAAAGACTTTAGCTGCCAAAACCGGGGATATGCAGCACAGACCGATGGGCTTCTTGGCGTTGTGGAAAGCTTGGAGAGTGGCTCTCACGTGCTCATTGACAGTGCAGTCCTTGCCATCCACTGCCCAAGAACACAGGTTCTTTGCCACACCAAACCCACCTAGAAAATAAAATTAAAATCATGAAAATTAAATTAAAAGGAGGCAAATGTAATGTTAAAAAACACGAACTACCACATTAGAAATAAGTTTTCTTTTCCTTTTGTCTTTTCACAATGTAATCACAGTACAGGTAGGAATTTTAAGTTACTCTAGTGAAAGCTTTCAGCAGATGAAACAGGATTTATAATGTTAAGATACTTAGCTGCAGAAATTTTATCCCGTGTCTTTCACATAGGCCAGCAAGCTTAGCCCTGTTTCAGTGAGTAATAAAAACTGAAATGGGAAATTCCAACTGCATTCACTAGTCATTGGAAAAGATGCACAGTCTCATACACACCTATCAATAAGTAAGAGAGGGATCAAAAGAGCAATAAATTAAAAGTAGAAGAGGGCAGTTCAAGAGAGTAATGCAGACAGTGGAATGACCCTCTGGAATAATTTCACTGATGAGTTTTAGCCAATATTTAAACAGTTTTTTTTTATTCTTCTAGAATTCTTTTTTGGATTAAAAAAAAAGCTTAGTTAATGTAATATACAGATACAGAAATGGTGAAATAATTTGCTGCTAAAAATAAAGCTTAATTCGTCCTTCTAGAAATTAGTTATAAGAAGTAATTCTTTATCCGCACTTGATCCTCATTTAATTCTAGAAACAGATTATATTTTATAGCACCACCATTTGCTGGATTTAGAACCATCTAAATTGTCAAAGTTATTAGCAAGTTTAACCATCCATTACATTTGATTTCTTATGGAACGGGCACAACATCAACTTTTCTATGATAAGTAATAATGATGCAACTCCATTTTTCAGAAATATTTCAAGGGACAACATCAAAAAGTTTTTCATCTTTAATGTTTTTCCTTTCATTCCTCCCCTTTCCTCACTTTTGACCATTATCTGAAATCTCTGAGGTAAGATTTTAATTTTCAAACTTAATAGGGTTTATTTCCCTCTAGCAGTTATTACTGCAACCCCCCTGAGCCTGGCATATAATAGAGCGTGAAATTAATGTGGAAAATATTTGCTAGCCTCTACTCCCAGATCAGCTCAATGTCACTACCTTATTCTCATTTTAGAAGTATATTTATCAGCATTATACACATATGCCACCTGCTGGCCTTACAACAGATAGCAGCATAACAATTTCAAAACTGTATTTAACAATATTATGAATATATACCACTGGAAAGTGATCTCGAGTATGTCAATAATTTCCTCATAATACTTTAGTTTCTTCATTTCAAAAGTTTTGGGTATATAAAAGAGTATTCCACAAATGTGCTTGGTATAATTTGATCAGCAGCAGATCAGATACATAATTAAAACAAAACAAGCTCCTGTGTGACAGTGAGTACCATCTACCATCAATGTCACACATACTAAAACTAAGGCACTACAATCCAGCGGCAAGTTGGCCCCAAGCAGATGCAGAAGTCCTGACCACCTCTAGAAAGGGGGCACCGTTTCATATATGATCGAACCCCAAAAGAAGACTGTGGCATTTTAAATTAATAAACAGAGATGGCTTATCAGCATGCAAGAGCTTGCTAAAACATCTGCTCATCCTCAAAAAAAAAAGTAAATAAAATAGATGCATTTCAATTTCAATAGTATAATTTATAATTTAAATGGATTTAAATATTAAAAAAAGGACTGGAGGCAAAGCAGTTGCTTGCAATTTAAAAAGTCAGAGTGATTTTCTTTTAGAAGCACCTACCAGGGAAAATGACTGCATCGAATTCACTAACTTTCAGTTCAGCCAAATCCTGGATGTCGCCTCTTGCCAGCCTGGCACTTTCAACTAAGACATTTCTCTTCTCTCCTGTCGGACTTCCTTTTAAATGATTGACTACATCCCTTTGCTCAATATTGGGAGCAAAAATCTTTACCTAGAAGACAAAAAGAAGGCAACTTTGTGTAGGTAAACAGAAATCATACATATTGGTGAAGATAAAGATCATATAATCAAAGCAGCTTCTGTTCCTGAAGTCTCCTACCCCAGGAAAATGGATAGTCCACAGGGCGATCTATTGCCACAGATTAACTGAGGTGACAGATGATGTGATGCATGAGGATGGTTAAACCTCCCTCTTCTCCTCATGCTCATCCTATTCCTGCAGTGGACTGATGAAAGCATGTCCTTACACCAATGCCAAGCTTATTGGATTTGCCAGGGCCCACCTTCACTCCCAGGTGACTAATCCAAGGAACTAACGGTGCATTCATTATGTATATTTAACTATAAAGAAGTATGCTTATATATGTACACACATGCATTTATATGTTGTTGACCTTTAGGGGTCACCTCTATGGGATCAAGTTGCTAGAAGAGATGATAAGATCGAAGTTTTACATTCATTTCTCGTACAGATATTACAGGTGGGCAATTTTATTCACTTTCCTGAAAGACTAGAAGCAGGACGAAGAAAAGAAAACACAAAAAACCTTTGTGTGGTTATGCCTGAAAGGGACAGGTTGCAACGGAACTACAAAGCTCTGTGAAAAGCTTTGCATGGCGGCTATTTTCACATCTCTTGCTCTGATGCTTGCTTGCCCACTTCTCAGGGGCTCACCGATTTAATTGTAGCTAGGGTGGCTGTACTAAACGCGGCATTTTTTTGGCGATCTGTTAAAAGCTCAGGCCGGCGCTCGGACACCAGCTGCGGAGCTGCCGGCGCAGTCAGGCCCCGGAGCGCAGGCTTGGAAGCAACCGGCGCCTGTCAGCGGAAGCTGCGGAAAAAGCTACGTCCAGCTCCATGGGAATGCGAGCTACCCAGAAATAAAGTATATGTAATAATAATTAAATAAAGGTAAGCTATAGATACTAATAACACATTAAAAAAAGAGCAGCCATCAGAAAACGCCCAACAACGCCACGCGCGGGCTGAGGCCGCCCAAAGCGCGGCCTCGGGGGCAGGCGCCGCGAGCTGCGCGGCCGGGCCGCGGCGGC